GCTGTAGTTTGATTTTCCGCTTCTCGTTTCCATCTTCTCTTTTTTTTTATCCCACTTTCTGACACCAATTTGTTACGCCTCCGGTCGTTAGTTAATTTTCCGTAAAAATTCTTTCCGAAGAAACTTTACCGATACAAGTCCTTTCTTAAATAATACTGCTTTATTCTTTCTGAATACAACTTTACGATACACTTAATTTCAACAGTCGCGCTATAACAAACGCTATAATTCACAACGAACTTCTCACGTGCTCAACAATATTCTCTCCGCATACATTCAATTACTCATTACATTGCCTCCGTCACGTTGTAACCGTCTTATATATAAAAGAATACCGAGATCTACTAAACTCCCGATATTTCATGAAGGTTCGAGAAGTAAGTGCCGTGATACAAGCGTCACATGACCTGCGTCGTCGTAACAATATGCTTACAAAAATAATGTCTTTTCTGACATCGTTTAATTAATTATATTTTTGTAAAATTTAATATAACCAATTTTATATTAAGACCCGACGCCGCGAAAAACTCATCCTTGATATGGCCGCGACTTTTTCAATTTTTATTACTGATTTAACAACTGACTACTTTTACGCTTTCTATTGTAGTTAATATGCATCGTTGGTACAGTACATGAGGGTAATGGATCACAAAGACGACAAACATGGCATGTTCTTTTCTTTCGTCTTTTATGTTCACCACATAATCTGCCAGCTACTATTGTTTCCATGTTTCCTGGTATCCGATTGAAAATCTGAATGTTGTGTTGAAATCAACTCAACCAATGTTGCTAAACAGTTTACTAATAATTACTATTGCGCTTTTTTGATTATATGTTTCATAATTTTTGTTCGGCCAAATTTTTAGTAAAATATACTACTTTTTCGCGGCCGAGGGATCATAAAAATTCTGGCTAACAGTGTAAAGGAAAGAAACAGAAACTCGTAGTTGAAACAATAAAGCAAAAATAAAAAGACGACAAGGACTGAATGAAAAGTAAAAAAAAAAAAAAGGTTACCTGATGGGACAGCGGTAAGTCTACGAATTTATAATGCTAAAATGAGGGGTTCTATTCCCCTCGGTAGATACAGCAGATAGCCCGAAGTGTCTATATGAAAACACACACACAGTTAAAAAAAAAGGAATATCATAAAAATATACACATATATATATATATTAATACCAATAAGTGTTTGTCAGAATTTGAAAGTACAATTCACTAAAAGAAACATATTTAAATTTCTATTTTGTATAATTCTACGAAATCGCCCCCTCCTCCTGGATTTAATGTAAACGAAAAGGAGGAGAATTTTTGTGAAGGATAAGAACTGCAAAAGAAAGGTGTTATCACTGCTAATCTCACTGGAGGCTTATGCGGGGAAAATTACATATCTAATTAAGAAAAACAACCGGGGGTGTCTAAACGTTTGCTTCCGTATTTTCTCTTTGTTATAGTTCGTATAAACATATTGATTTTGTTTAGGGGGTTACCGTTGTTACTAAATTTTACAGCTTGGCACTTTATACTTTCGCACAACCCCAAGTAATAAATAAATATACAAAATACTTAAAATAACAGTTTTTAGGGATACCTCCTATATGGGGGGGTATAACTTATTGTGAACCCATTTATTTATTTACTTTATAATTGAATACGAATAAACTTTCTCATGTACGTTTAATAAAGCTACATGCAGACAAACTTCGTGTTGAGAAGACTTGTGTGTTAAAGAACTGTGCTAATTGTAGCTTAAAACTCTCAGGGTTTATGCCTAGAATAAACGTGTAAAAATGAAAGCATTCAAAACTTAAGAAAGCAAGAACAAAGAGAGGCTCAGTTCATGTCATATTTAAAGCTAGTAAGTTGTAAAATTCTATAGTAAGCCTTTTTCAAAAAGAAAAAAAGATGTTCAGAAATTAGTAGACTTTATAGACTTTCAGAATATTGATATGGTCTAACCCCCGAATACGTATCCTGAAACAGGATGCAGATCTATTTTGGTCGTGTAAGCACAGAGAAAAAGCAGATTTTACGTGAAGGAATTTAAGGAGGGTTTATTTGTTGTCAAGCGGAAAGCTACATAATGGGATATATGTGCTCTACTCACCATGACTTGATGTATCTAACCCTGATTTTAGTGTTATTTTTCCTCAGGAAGGACCCAGTGTCCTGCTTTTAAAAGTACTTTAGATTGTTCTTTGTCTAAATTAAATTATTAAGAATCAGAGACAGATTTGTAATAATTATTTTATTTAGCTTTAGCTTTACAATAGTTACGAACATAACTCTAGTTGTTTTTTAAAAATTTATAACCCTATTAAAATTCTGGAAGTTTCATGAATTGGAATATAACTGTTCGAAAATAAAAAAAAGAAATGTAAATGTTCCCATGACAAAATCACTTCTATAATAAGATAATAAAAAATACGAATGTTGATAGAAATCATTTTATAATACCATAACATGTTGAATGTTGATAATAATCATTTTATAACATCATGACATGTTGAATTTTAATTTTAAAAGAAAAAAAAGTATTAATATTAAATCATTTGAAAAAAATGGCTTTGAACAACAATTTTAACTATTCACACACTGATTTTTCTGGTTTACGTACCAATTTATTTAGACGTATGTATACTTTTGTACTTCAGTCACATGACAACAGTGGGGAGTAAAACATCACAATATGCCACTTGCAACCATCACAATATACAAACATTAGAGAATAGCCACAGCTATTGATCACACATTAGTTTAGGAATTACTTCATGATGAGCTAGAGACAGTAATTTTTTTCATACTGATGAACATACTCTAGCACAGTGTTTCTCAACCTTTTTCTGCTCATGGCTCCCTTTTGAGTTTGATTTATCTCTGTGGCCCTACCCTCGTAGACGCTGTTACTTGTGAAAAAAAGTTACTTTATTTCCACACTGTTGATTTATAATATATTTATAATATTATTTTTACAATATTGTTGTATTTATTTTTAAATATTTTGTTTATAACATACTGTTTACTTATACAAGTAAAAAATATTATGTTAATCATTGATATTTTATTCAGTGTGATCCTTGTTCCTGATGAACACTTGAAAGTTTTTGAATGTCAGTGTGGTCAGTGATAAGTGAAGATCACCTCTCTTCACAACATCAAGGCAATTACGTATTTTTGATAGCAAATAAGTCACCCGACTAAAACCAGATTCAACCAGATAAGATGTGAGAAAAGTGATGAAATACAACTTTGCCTTCGCCCAGAGCTGTGGAAATTTATTAGCTATTTCATTACCTATCCAGAAATAATGTTTGTCCCGTTTGAATCTAGCTTGGACTGTTATATCACTCTGCTGCTCTTGAGAATCAGTCGAAAACATTCACAGATACCAGACAAACATTTTGATTGTTACTTGAGTACTAGTCGCGTCTGGTAACTTCACTTCTGATCCGTGGGGGATACGGAGAGAAGAGAACCTTTGATTCAATTTAAAATTTTAAATATTTTATTCGGGCAGTGAATTTTCGGTGGCCCACTTAGAATTTACTGTGCCCCTCTAATTTTCGGTCATTCACGTGTGGCCTCTGGGGGGCCATATGGCCCACGTTGAGAGCCACTGCTCTAGCAAATCACTAAATATAAGGATTTTGTTTTGTTTGTGCTTCACAAGAGAAGCTAGCTTAAAAAGATGCGCGTACG